CTCTCTCTTTCTCTCTCTCTTTCTCTCTCTCTCTCTCTCTCTTTCTCTCTCTCTTTCTCTCTCTCTCTCTCTTACTGTCTACACCCATTCTCAGTTTCTCTAGCAAATTTTACGTTAAGGTACAATAATTCAACAACGAGCATCTGCAGCCAGTATGTAACGAGTATTTCTTTATAACATTCACAATGTACTATAATAAAGATATTTCTCTCCCTCTTTCTCTCCCACTTTCGCTCCTTCTCATTCTCTCGATCTCACGCATTCTGCCTTCCTCCCTCCTTCTCTTTCTCTCTCACCCCCATACAAGATTTGATGTTGTCCAAGCGAGCGAGCGATGAAAAACGAGTCGTGTATAAACATTACCCCAGCGGAATAATAATCGTTACGTGACAACTAGTGATATAAATGTAAACCGTATATCATAGCGAAAAATTGTTCTTGTATCATTTTTTTACTTTTCTCTTTCTCTTTCTCTATCCTCTCTCTCTCTCTCTCTCTCTCTCTTTCACAACAATGATGAAGAAGATTCACGGTGGTAGTAGACAAATAGACAATAATGCACATGACACAATTGATTTTTTTTTGTTTGGTGTATTCAGAACTTCCCTCTCTTTTTCCTCCTTGCTCACTCTCACTCTCTCTCTCTCTTTCTCTCTCTGTCTCTCTCGGCGAGTCTTTCGTAAATATTTTTTCTTAGCTTTTCGTGTGTATGTGCTGAAAGAGGCAGGACGAGATGAAGAAGAAGGGGCGTGATGTAAAGGAATCCCGGGGGGAACATTCATATAGATAGTTGACACTATTATGTACAAAATGACTTGTCAGAAGAGGTGACATTACCGACTATTTAATAAGAGTTATCGAGAACAAACTTTACACACGCCTCCTCCGTGAACCGGACACTAAAGCCATCTTAGGGAACACACACATGTACGTATATATTATGTCACACGTATATACGTGTACATGCGTACACGTGTACACACGTATACGTGTATACATGTGTATCATCATCATTCTTATACGTCAATATGACAGTTACTTGATTGGAAAAAAAAGATTTTTCTCATGTAAAGTAGTTACCACAGTAGCGACTGTAGCGTGACAATGGTGACCAACGCGCGCGCGCGCGCGAACGAGCGGGCGGTCTCATATGTCATGTACGTGTCGTGTATGGTGTGTGTTTGTGTGTGCGTGCGCGCGCGCACCCACGATCTTTATATATGCAACAACCGAAAGGAAGTTTCTTTAATATATTATATATTTTTTTTCTTTTGTTTCTTTCTTTCAACCATTCTCTCCCTCCCCTTCTCTCCTCCCTTTCCACAGTCTATCCACACGTTCGACAGTGTCCTTCTCTCGTTATCCGTTTCTCCTCGTTCCAATTAAGTTCGGACTGAAAATAACAAAGCGCAAAGTCTGCGATGTTGCTATGTTCTATCTTTCCCATTTTCCTAATCTCCCCTCTCTGTGTCTCTCGATAGCCAAAAAAACCTTTTCCACAATCCCGTGTCCCAACTTCACTTTCAGTTTCTACGCACACGCACGCAATCATACACCCCCGCTCACGCATACCCGTAATTCCCTCCATTTCCCTTTTTCACATGTATACGTTCTTATATATTTTA